GCTATCTTAACTCTGTAGCTCAACACGCCGTTAAAAAGTGGGGAGAGGGCAGTCCCGATAGGCCCAGCGCTTCAGGATATGCATTCTTCATTTCACACGGAACAAAAATAATACAAAAATAAACTGAACTTGTTAGACATAAAAGAACATGCAAGTCTATTTAAAAAAGCAAACCCTGGGGTTTCAACCGAAAGCTACTTTTCAGAATACTGACCTCTAGGGGAGAAAGAAAAGCAGGAAGGATGGGACCAATGGGGGGTGGTGGGGGTGGTGGTACGTTCCCCCCCCCCATTGTTGGCTGAAATTGAGTCTTGATAGTGAGTATTTCTTGTGTTACTCCTGGAACAGTAAAAACAACAGCTTTCCCCCTCTTTTTCCTTAACAAAGAGGGCTCCCCGGCTTAGAATTCGTCGTGCCGTACTAAGGCTTCGCCAAAGTCCGTTGCCTGGCTGCCCACAAACAAGTCGTACTTGTCCACGATTTCTTCTTTGGTGAGTTTGCCGTCCTGGAAAAGGAACGGAGCCCAACGGTGAAAGGCCGGCCCCGAGCCCCCGCCAACCCCCTGCCTGGCCTAGAGAGACCCGTCCCAACGGGGGACACGCACACCTGCGCTGCTCCCGCTGATCTTCCTATGGGGCACTCAATACCGAGGAGCCCTACTGAAATGGGCAGACCTGCAGCCTGGTTCCCATTTCCTTCTCCGAAGGAGCAGCAATGGCCTTTCCTCGTCTTCGTTCAGCTCACAGGAAAAGCATGGACTACAGGCGGGTCCCCACATTCCCCAGGAGGAGACGTCTCACCTTGTCCTGATCCGACTCGTAAACCAGGTGCCGAGCTTCGGCCTCAGCGTGGTCGTAGTCGGAGGGGAGAATCCAGTCTTTGGTTTCCTCTGTGTCCATCTTCCCATCGTGGTTCTTGTCCCGGAACTCCAGAAACTGTTCTCGCTCCGTCTTCACCCACTCGGGTTCTTCTGTGTCCCCGTCGTGGCTATACATGTCACCTGTGGAGGAAGCCCAAGGAGCCTCTGAATTCTGAAAGAGTTTGGCCCGGGCCTTCCTGACCTCTATTGGGGTTATATTTCTCAAATAAGTTGAACCACAAAATACCCAGTTTTATCATTCAGTTGGGCGGAAGCAACCCAGGACATTCCCACAGGCTTCGTGGGAACACACTGGGGAATGCTCCCCTCAGCTCAAGCCAGTGAATGCTCTCTGGCCCTTCCTGTGGTCTAGCAACCAGC